GGAGTTGAGTCCTTCACTCATCAATTGATAAATATCATTGATGTCGTGTTTGGTTGACTGCCAAAGCAGGTGTAAATGTGATGAACAGTAACAACGACAAGAAGTTACAGTTACTTAAAATTAGCTACAGACATCAGTAGAGTAGAGCACTTTATTTATTTTATTTCGGGGGGTCTTTTAATATTGTAGTTTTATAATTATGACTCACTTATTTAAACTTAGAAGCATCACACCAATAATTCCTTGTGTCCTACAATGTAAAATATTTGCTTTTGTCAATGTACTTTGGTATGGACAGTGAGCAGCAAACAAAGCAGCTCTTCTAAGATAAAGCAACATAACATTACACATATTACTTACTTTATATTACTTCATAACTACATAATGTGAGTATATTCTGAGAACACTTTTTTTCTATACTTAACAAAGCATTAGAGTATACTCCAGATAATGCTGTCGTGGTTAATTCCAAAAACTACACTAAGATACAGTATAAAGTATATAGTATAGTATCCAAATGGGAGGATACAAAAGGAAACTGCACCTTTTTCCCTCCTTCTACTATGACACTGTTATTGCTGCCTGACATTTGTCTGTTTGACAAACTTAACTTAATGTTTATTTTCATTTTAGGTCAACACTGAAAACCATATACCACTGATTTCAGATACTGTATATAGTTTATCTGAAATCACTCCACCAAAGTGCTGAATGAAAACTTCCAGCACTGCAGGCTCACTAAAATGTCTTACTAACAGTATTAGTATTTGCTAGTGCAACTGCTTTGTCGCTGCATTGCTACCACACCATTATAACATTATTATTGTCATGATGTGTTTACTAAAACTTACCAAGGTCATAGAAACCACTGAGTATAAAAGCTCAAAACCTGTTGGTCGACACCATTAGAATGATGCTAAAACTTGAATATTTTCTTACTTAAAACCCATGATTATAAGTAGGATTCTTGGACAAAGATTCAATTTTCACTAATAAACCAAGGCTTTTCATTGGCTTTTATCCATACATAAGTTAATGTGATTATAATATTCAGTGAATAAATACGTTTTTACAGGCACATGCTCTAAATGCTCTATTTCTTGTCACTATGTTATATGAGAGTTGCTTTTAAATAGTGATTAGATTTTATATAATTAATAAACGTTACTGCAGGTATACCATAAGTTCAAACTGTTTCAATTGATGCTATTAGCTTATACAGTGATGTCAACAAACTGACACTTGATTAACTCAAGGTCAGAGAGATACTGAAAATCCTGTATTTGACAAGATCCTAAACAAAACCATAGGTTTATCTGCTCCTATAATAAAACCCTTAAAACAATAAGTTAGGATTGCATTAGGTTTCTGCAAAGGCAATCTCAAATGATCTTATTGTTTTTAGGTGCGGTAGTACTATGAAGGGTGGAGGAAGGGGTAAGGAGCCACCTGTTGTAGGGGAGGTCGCTGGTAAGCGCCCCAAACGTAAATGCCTTCAGTGGCACCCACTTCTTTCCAAGAAGGCTCTGGATTTCTCTGAAGAGGAGGAAGAAGAGGATGAGGAGGAACTGGAGAAGGTGAGATTTAGCTTTTTTAAGACCATGAACTTCACAGTAGATTTCTGTTTATCCCTTATCATATAAAAGTAGTCTGGAAACCTTTTAGGGTATTGCACTTTAAAGTGTACGTCTTTGTTTTCAGCAACCAACCTTGTGTGACCAGGACCAAGGGCCACAAATGGAGTGTAACAGCACAACAGAGGAAGTGGAAGAGGACTCAAATGAACAGCGAGCACGGCGTCCAATGAATGCCTTCCTCCTCTTCTGCAAACGCCACCGGTCTCTGGTGCGTCAGGAACATCCTCGTCTGGACAATCGTGGGGCCACCAAGATCCTGGCTGATTGGTGGGCTGTGCTGGAGCCCAAAGAGAAGCAGAAATACACAGACATGGCCAAGGAGGTGGGACTATTCTCACGAATATTCATTTTAACTTCCTTCTGCAAGAAAATTGGAAGTTCATTTTCATTTTGCATGAACCCAATTACATTTATATTTTCATCTCAGTACAAAGATGCTTTCATGAAGGCCAACCCAGGCTACAAGTGGTGTCCCACCACCAGCAAACCAGTAAAGACTCCTCCCAGTCCGACAGTCTGCAATCCCCGCAAAAAGGTCTGGTCCTTCTCTTCCAACTTGTCCAAGGATTCCACCACTGCCAGAAAAGTGCCCAAAACTGACAGCATGCCACAGTTAAACTTTGCCATGGCAGGTATGTGTATGACAAGATTGTTATTTCATATCTAGCAGGAGATCACGTGTGATTGTTGTTTCTCTTCTTGTTGTCAGATCCTACAAAAATGGGAGGCCTTAGCATGCTGCTATTAGCTGGTGAACATGCACTCACAAACAGGGAGGTGTGTTGTCTGTTTATGTTTTTCTTATCCACCTTAAGATTTATCTTTAGCACCACAGTTGTGCCTTTTTTTACTCATGCCAATTTTATGTACCTCCATAGATTCCTTCTAGCACTAAAACTAGTTTACCAGACACAGCTAGTGAAGAAAAGTGTTTTCCAGTGGATAAAAAAGAGGTGAGTTCTGAGATTTTATTGTTCTTCATCTCTGTACACCACCTTTATTCTCATAGCATGCAGTCACAGTCACACTCAGCAAATCAAGAACAACAATTATTTCAAGCCAAAAGGAAACAGTCTTCAAATGGACACTCTCGTCCTATAAAACAACATTTCATTAAAACTAGGAACAGGGTAAATATGAATAATGTTGAAAAGTATGAACAAACAACATTAAACATTCTCACCACAGCCAGTAGAACATTCTTTATGCTTTCCTATAAACCCTGTGTCACATAAACTGTGTTTCACCTTGTTTCGATCAACAAATTATCACAGAGTGGACCAGACACAAGTATTGAATGAGGTATTGGACGGCACATTCCTGCAATAAATCCATTCATATCTATTACATTTTCTGAGCTAATATACAGTACCTTCGCACTGGTTAGAGTGGCACGATGGTAATGCAGTTCCAACGTGTCAAAAGGCAAAAGGTTCCAAGTTCAAATCCATCATCTGGTGTGAAACTGTCAAATCATTTTGTGAACTACCGTAGCAACACCTGAAGAAGGAACAATACCTTTTTTTGTTTATTCTTCTTATTACCGAGCATCTTTTACACTGTTTAGCCTAGATTCTAATCTGGAAAAAGATGGACTAACGTATTCATACTGAACCGTTCAACCTACAGATGCTGTCTGGAGCAGTGCTGAACGCCAGGCTGGATGTTACTGAGAGCACTGTCAAGGCTGCTCTTGCTCCTCTGGCTGAGGTAATGACTTTCACTTCATGATGGGTGCATCATTTCTCAGAGTCTGCCTAGCGTAGGCTACTGTGTACTTCACATATCAATCTTGATTGATGGCCTTCACCATACTGTTTATTTGCATTAAAATAAAACAACACAGGGAAAGGTGGTGTTACGGATGACACCTAGATAACATTTGTTTTAGAGCATCTATGTACATTTTATGGATGTACAGTATGTGTGATTCTACATAATGCTAAAAATCTTCCAGGCAAATCAACCATGTATCATCTTCTCAATGCTATCATAACAGTAGTTGAGCCAGAACACAAGAAGTCAGCTAAATATCTGTACTGCAAACAAGTGCGGTTTCTCAGTTTGTGTACACATCTCAGCACATACTGATTTTTCACCATGCCAGTGTGAAAATACTGCATTCAAAGTATCCAATCAAATGAATCTGGCCATCTTGGCATAGCAAAACATGAGAAGAAGTTGGGCCTTTTTCTGTCTTTTAAAAACAGAATGAAAAGGTGCACAGGCTTTAGACTAGTCCAAGATATTGGTTGTTATTCAAGTGTCAGGTTGACATGAAGCGAAGCCAACTTATAAATTTGGGTCAGATAATTTGTATGTCACATAGTCTTGAAATAAAAGGTGCTCAAAGTTTTAGACCACAGTACCTGCAGAAATTTACTAGTACCTTTTTTCAAGAACATAAATGTTGACGAAGCATGTAACTGTACATTCACAGTCATCCAATTCTGTGCTACCTGAAGGAAAACCATGCAGACAGTCAGCTCTATTCCAGCTTGCTGAGGTAAGAAATTATTCAATCAGCATCTCTTAAAAAAATTCCAAATGGACGCTGTAACAAACAGTGTGGAAGAATTTCATGCCAACATCATAGGTTGATACATTTGACAAACTTAGTTACTACACTGTTTTGCTGTTTATTGTCCAGTTTTTGCATTTTCTGAAGATCAGATTATGATTACGAACATTGGATCACTGTGTCCATTTCCTGTGTCTGGTCACAATCAGAGTGATAAGGCAGTATATATTGTATGTAATTTACACTCAACCACAAGATGGAAAAACAAATTATGTACACATGCTGTCTAATGTTTGTGGAAACGGATCACTGCAAGGTAAGACTTTTGTCATGTTTACACATCGTATCTGATTGTTTTATGTTCTATGTTTGTAAAGATGTGCTTAGCATCTGAAGCAGGAAAGATGGAGGTAGCTGTATCTCAGCCAGAGGACAGTTCTTCTGCAGCCTCTGTCCAACAGACTGCAATTAAACAAGAGGTCAAAGAAGAAAGAGCAAACACTGTTGACTGTCCTCCCTCCTCTAATATGTCGGCTGCCTCACCCTCTGTCTCCACTGTCACTTCTACCTCCACTGATGCCATTCCCCAACACTTGAGCAGCCAAAACGCATGTGTCAAAAAGAAGAGCAAGAAAAAGGAGGCAGCCAAGTCACACACTAGCAGCGAGAGTCCTTGTACAGCAAAGAAGACAGTCAAAAAATGTAATAATGCAGAATCAGATGTGGACAGTGTTTTTAGTACGATTGAAGCTGTGGCCAAAGGGGCATGGAAAGACCCAGAGGAGAAGCCCAAGAAGGATGTCCAGAGTGATCTGAGTGGTGTAACATCTGGAACTCCCAAAAAGAGGAGCAAGCCAAAAGTCAAAACACCTGTGAAAGAGAAAAAGGAGGAGAAGATGGACACTGACAGTGGGATGTGTGGACAGAGCAGTTCTTCTGTGGAGGAGATAAATGAGGAAATGACGGATGTTAGTCCAAACACAGAAGCTGACGACCTAAGTCTCGGAGACACACAGGTTCAGGGCAGTACAGTGGACCTCCATCATTCACCCTGCAACCCTTCACCAGGTAAACTCCAAGAAGATGACAAGGGGAAGGAGGGTGAGGTGACCCTTGAGCCAAACATGGAGAACCGTGGCTCAAGGAAATCAGAAAGGAGCTGTAAAGGAGCTTTGTATAAAACTCTAGTTTCTGAGGGGATGCTGACATCACTGAGAGCCAACATTGACCGAGGTAACAGGGTTTAAAACTCAACAGTGTATCCACCATATGGCCCATAGACTTCCCTGACAATGTGTGCTATGTTTGTAAGCAGGTAAAAGAGGAGCTTTCCGTGCTGCTGATCACGATGCAAACTGGTCTGATGACAGCTGGGCTGTTTCACAGTTGGGACCTAATAACCCCAAGAAGCTGAAGAAGTCCAAGTCCAAGGATGAGTCGACACAGGGGTGAGTCAGGTCTCTTTCCACTGCTACAAGCAGCATATACTGACTGAATAATAAACAGTCAATACTGCCACGAGAGAATATTTCAAGTCTCCTACTGTTGTAGCCAAACTAATTTAGAATAACAGAATAAATATAATACACACTTCATTACACACCCCCAAGGGACATTTGTAATGGACTCAAAGTGCTGACACAAAAGCTGACTTAATAGAATAACAGTAAAGACTCACAGGTTAATCACAGGTTTAATCAATGGATATTTCATAATGCAAACATGACTTAAAACAACAACAAAAAACACCCATCATACATGTTCAATACTGGCTGAACTATGATACAAGGTCATGTTATTGTAACTGTTTAACTTTATGTGAAAAACTAAAATTTAAATCATTTAAAAATTAAATTCACAATTTAAGTATTGCAGTTGATGCATTTGTTTGCTTTATAGTCATGTTTATAATTAACAACATGATTTCTTTTCAAGCCAGAAAGTGATAGACATACACATGTACATTTACTGTACTGTACTGTACTGTATTTGTATGTGCGTATAAATGTGTATATACTGTATGTATATATATATATATATGTATTCATATTTTCTGCATTATTTTTGTTGTTAAAGTTTTTTAAATGACCCATCCCTTCACTGACCTTAATACAAACCATCGTTTCTCAGCCTTGGAAAACTGGAGGAGGAGTTTGAAAAGAAGTTCAACAGCCTACCACAGTACAGCCCAATGTTATTTGATAAGAAGAGCACTACTGTTGCAAAGAAGAAGAAGACTGATGGCTCCACTGTCCAAGAAGATGCTTCCAAATTGGGCAAAGGTGAGAAAAATGGACAACGTTATTCCAGCACGAACACACTGGCTGTTTTAATACTCCATTTAATGTCTCATGCTGCTCTTGTCACATTATCACACTTGTGTTGTTTACAACATATTGTCAAACAGCATTTGCATTTCCATCCTTTATTTTTCTTTGTTCTTATGCTGCATCAGGGCCATCTCCATGTCAGAAAAAGACTTCATTCCACAAGATTGTTAGGAAGCACAAAAACAAGAAGGAGAAACCAGGTGCAGTAGACAAAGCTGAAATACACCCAATGACTTTGCATCATTGCAGAAAACATGTATTTGAATCAATTAAACTGTATTTACCCAGGTAAATCAGTTGAGTACTAATTATTTTGTGTAAGTTTAATTTTTATTAAGGTAAACCTGAGTAACAGAGTAGTAACATCCATTACCTTTTGTTGTAACTTCAAGATTGTCACATGATGAAAACAAAATGTTATCAATAGCATCATTCATTTTATTTGATTACATTCATAAAAGTACTCTTTTGCACACATGTAAATGTGTCTAATGTTTGTTTTTTTTACTCTCATCTTCATAGCACTACTACAGAGCAACTCTATGCTGGATTCAGCTCCAAAAGCCAAATCATGTGCCCCTGTTGCCATTTTGTGCCCAGATTTGCAGGGTGCCACTAGTTTGGAGATGCTAGTTGGTAGCCAGAAGAGAAAAGCTAGAAAGACCAAGATCACACACTTGGTTCGCACAGCTGATGGGAGTGTGTCTCCAGCGGAGGGTAAGTTTAATGAAAATAAATTGGTAAATAATTTTAATGAAAAGAAATTAGCAGTTAGGAGAATGCTGTGAGGTAAAGATTTGCAGATACATTTTTATGGTACTTCTGTAGACTTTTGTTTGTTTAATAAATTATTATTTCTGTACAGAGGACAAAATGAAGGACATGACCCAGGAACAGGATAAGAAGCCATTACACCAACAGAATTTATGCAATGATAAAGGGTGCTACAGTAATCCCAGGGCAGAGGAGGCGCCATTGAGCACCATACCACATGAGCTACCTGCTTTCTTCAGCTTGGCAGCACTCGCAGAGGTAGCAGCCATGGAGAATGTTCACAGGTGGGACATGATGATGTACATGTGACAAAACTGTTGTTAAATAGATAGGCAAAAGAATGTCCATTCAGCTCGATTGTGAGGTGGATTGTCTTTGGAGTATAATGCATGTGTATCTGCTGGGCACTCTTACTCCCACTCTACTACTGCTACTACTACTACTCAGGCATAAATTTGCTCTCTTACTACAATGTTCCTTTAGGTGCTGTAAAAATTATTAGGCGGTAGAAGATGAATGAAAAAATAAAATACACACACACACATTCTCTTTTCATTTCCATTTTCCAGAGGCCAGAAGGGTTTAGCTGAGAGTCAGAAGAAGGAGCTTGCTCAGACGCCAGTCCTCATCTCCTGCGCTGACCAGTGAAGCTCTGCTGCTGTTACAATAAGCCACAACCTGGACATTGGCAGTGGAGCTTTACTTTCCTCTGTGGTAAGCCCACGCTGAAGGAAGACATGAACAGGAAGCCTTGAACAGGCTTCCTCTTCATTGTGGTGAATTTTGCTTGAGCTTGGGTTCACGGTGGGGGAAAGAGACCCTCTCCTCCTCCTCTTTCTCCTCCTCCCTGCTCTTAGCGATCTCAGTGTTTTTCTTGAAGCCTTCCTTTGGTTTGAAGCGCGACGTCTTTCTGAAGTCCCTGTCCCCTCGTAGATGCTCCTTTAGGGCCTGTGGAAGAACCAAGCTGTCTTGTTGTGCATGGTTTTCCCTATAACCACAGCTATCATGGGTTTATTGTACACTGCTTTGTCAAATAGAGGCCATTTTAAAGGCCAAGTCTTGCAGTTTTAAAAAAAAAAGCAGCATTTTAGGTAAAGATAAAAACCCAACAGTGCATTGGTTTTCTAGAAAAATACAGCTTGCTGTCACCTTTTTACCTCACACACAAGCCTACTGAAGCGTTCCCTCACCTCTGGTAGAATACCTCTGTATTTGAATAGCTCTCCTTCTTCCCTTCCCTGTCTTTTCTGCTTCAGCCCAAATGACTTTAACCAGGGTAAATAATAATGATGAGTAATCATCCATTACCAACTACTTGCATAGTGTTTCCCGGTGGTGCACATATCGTGTACACAAACTGCAAATAAATCATGGTTTGAGTATCTTATATGTATGTTAAGATGATCCTACTGTAAAACAGTATGTGGTAGCTACACACATTACTATGTTAGACTGAATGCTTCTGAATACACGTGTATAGCTTTGCCTCTGAACTAGTGTTCACTGTGTCCCTTTCTAACACCAGAAAGCAGCTCGTCTTAGAAGCTGCTTCTGGGATGGGGAGACGGTGTGAAAAGATCATTCAGATTTAGCCTTAACCCTCTCACTGAGAACCTATCTTCCCCCCAAATACTTCTTGTCGATGTTATCACAGTCCTTTTGTCGGCGTGAGGCTTTTTAACCATAATGACACGTTTTTGTTTTGTCAATACTTGATCTTGTAGCAATTAGAATGGAAAGTTCCTTGTGTGCAACTTATTTCAGATGTTTATGTTTAAACCTGTTCTAATGTGTAGATGAAGTTTAAGTTTTTAGTTTGAAGTTTAAGGTTTGTTTCTGTTTTTATTTTGGAGGAGAAGGAGTGATACAATGCCTTGTCTCCACCACTGTTCTAACGCTATAGTCTGCTCTTAGTAGTGTCGTCAGCATCCCGGCAAAAGCCAGTGGCAAGTTTTACTGTTAAAGGTCAAAAGTTAGTTAATTATAAATTAATTATGTCACATGTTAAGTCCTTAATGTGTATAGGTCTCATGAAATGAGCATCTTGGATAATTTTCTTTTGGCTTTAGTGTGTGAACAAAGATTTATTGTGCTGAAAACAGCCATGCTTCCTCTAAAGAACTAATGGAGACGAGGCATTTAATAATGATTTCCCCCTTTGTTTCCTATTGTCCTTTAGAGATCGCCAAGTAATGGTCTACTCAGAGGTCGCCTTTAATCAATATTTAAATTTGAACAGGTATTTATACTGAGCTGCATCTCTGTGCTCTCTGTCTTTTGCCTTTGTCAGGATTTTAATCAAAAACAGAGCGTTTTGCCCTCATAGCTCTGCTAACAGCTGTTAGCCGTTAATTAGCAGCGGAACCTTGTGTTGATACAGGTGTTTGCTCTGTTCATCATAGAGTTTAGCATATTACCAAACGTCTGTATTCTGAGCCCACTGTTTAACCTACATATACAACTAAATACTATCGTCTGTACAAGATGATGGGATCAAAGACCTGTGTCATTGTCATTGTTTAGTTAACGCGCAAATGCAACATTCTCATTGTTCTTCCAGTTTGATGACTTTTCTTACTTTTCCTCCTGCACTGTCGCACAGAAATGCAGCACAATGCTTTTCCTTGGCACAGCAGAGAGCCGTTTACGGTATGTGCTGGACAAGCCATTGAAAATTATGACTTTCAAAGCACAGCGGTGCCATTGTCACATTGTACGCATGTGAGAGGTTCGTCACGGAGTGATACACTCTCTCTCTCTGCAGGTCTCCTCTGTGTAGACCAGTAGATAACTTTCATGGCCTGTTCAAAGAGTTTTTCTGGTAAAATTTAGATGATAAATATATAAATAAAATATATATAATTTCCAGATCGTAAGGGGATCGTGATTAGGTTTTAAACGGATTAATTAATCAATAACGTACCTTTACTAATCTCTTCATTTTGACTATAAGTCAGGTCAATTTTCATGCATGTGATCCTGTTTTTTCTGATACTTCTCATTGAATTTCTGAGGTTACACCTGAGGTCATGTTTACCAGATTAAGACTGTTGTCAAAAACAATAGATCTCACAGACGAGAGGCTTCTGTGCTCTAGTCCAGGCAGACAAAACGCAGCGTCTCCAGACTTGTCTTTTCACCTGGGGTGCAGCAATTGCATCACAGTTTCTCTGATTGGTGTTAGAAGGATTGATGAGGAGCAGTGCTGTTGGACACCTAATAACAGGACCAGTAAAAAAGAAAGGAGTGGGTCTTAGAGAAGTCTTATTTTTTGTTTAGTGTTTTACCCTACCTTTAAACTTTGCTAGTCTTATAGTAGAGAATGACACTTAGTACTGCAAAACTGATCGCTTTAAAAATGTGTCTTCAAAATGTCAACAAACTAAGCGCAAGTGTAACCCAGTTCAGGTCACAGAGTAATGTTTCGATATATGGAATAAGCAGAACGTGTTTATTTTATTGTGTGGTTGTAAAAATCAGGGGTTTTGCAGAAAGTTGTTGTCCAAACAGTCCACTACCAGTGTGATACTGGTTTTGTTGTGGGATATAGAAGCAGGAAAACATGTTGAACGTGGTCAATTTCATTGTGAAATAACATGCACGATAGGTTTGTTCTCAGTCACTTGTACCAAATGTTATTTTTTTAATTATTACTATTATTGAAATTCTATTTTTAAGCAGCGAAGGCACTTTTAAAACCATTGTTGCAGTCCCTAAAAATAAATTTAATAGAGCTACAAACTTGTCAGTGCTATCAGTTTCCACTGTCTTATATATCTATATTTCTAATCAGTCGGAACATTTACGGTGGTAGTAAATATAAAAGTTATTTTCTTCATGTGATGTTTATACGTTTTTAATGTAAAGTTAAAAAAAATATTTTTTTCTTTTTTTTATCTTGAAAGTGATTATGATCTTGGCCTAATATTAAACATTAGAGTAGATACACCTCAATTTAAGGCTTTATGCAGTACTATTGTTTTTTTATTAGTGTAAGTTTTATTTTTTTTAATTAATTTTTAATATGTTTTCAAAAAGACAATGAGATTTTGATGAATAATACTCACCTAGCATTTGAAATATAAACTATGTTTAGATGCACAAATGACTCAATGATGGCTTAGAAGGTGACATTTTACTGTACATTACATAAAGTGACTGAGAAAACTGTAAAATACTGCATATGAGACCACAGAGAAGACGTGTCGATTAAAGGGCTGAAACCACATGACACTCAGCAGCAGAATGCAAACATGATGCCATGATGTCAAGACCATGGAGTGGTGAAATATTGTCTTTCAGAGCAGGTTTTGTGTACCCTGGTGCACAGCCAGTTGTTTACAGTCGTTTACACCCATTATGCTTTTCACTTACTTCCTCAAATTGTACACTGACCCACAGTCCAGACATTTGCTGGACATTGACCTAATCCTGTCCAGATAAAAGAAAAGTTACGGTAAGGATGGGAACATCCAGGCAGTTAACTGAGTCGTTCTTCCACTGGTGGATTTTAGCATGGTTCTTTGCAAAATTGTCTTCCCCCAAAAGACAGATTTATTTGCTTTTCAGTTTGACGTTTGCCAAAGAAAATAAATACAAAATATATATTCACATCCTGTTTTAAGAAAAATATTAGACAGAAAAGAAACAAAAAAAATGTAGGAAGAAATTTAAAAAAAGGCGAGCCAGAAAGTAAGTTGCACTGCATTTTTGAGGCGTGTAAATCTTCAGGTAACAATGTCAGCACAATTCACCCTGTGTATCTAATGGACTTTCTTTAGTGGAATGAAGTGCAACAATACAGCACCACTCAATGCCTCCTTTAGTATACAGTATTTGCACCTTATGACCCAAACCAAAATTGTCTTCATCTTTGGAAAAAAAAGAGATGAATATATATATATCTATAAATTTTTACCCACTCTTTGGAAAATATGCATTTTAACTATTCTATATGAGAGAATCCAGTCAGTAATAAATCCACACATCTACAAAACAGCCATACTACATTCATTCCTTCACCCTGTCACTTTTCTATCTAGAAAATGCTTCTATAAAGTTGAAATTCCTATATTAGTTACCTAAATGAATATAATACCCTTTTGTGCTCGTACTGTCTTCTTGAATGTAATCATTTTGTACCTGTATTTTTCTAATTCAGTCTTGATTGTACTGTATGTATGCTATGATGGTATACTGTTCCTTAGGTGCATAGACACAACCATTCTCATGACAGGAACGGTGCTGTGCTGCAAACTCAATGGAAACGAGTGACCATTTCAGGTCCAAGGGACTTAAACTGTACCATGTGAGCATTCAAGAGAGATTCCGGGCGATTTTTGCTGTTTAAGTGGAGCAACTATAGCTTCCCTGATCTGGTTACAAGTGGGTTTTTTGTTGTTGTTATGCTTTGCAGTAGAAGTGAAAGTCTGTGTGGGACAGTTTATGAAACGGGGCGCTCCTGCTATCAGACAGAGCAACTGAATGCACGAGTCTCATCTTATTTATTACTGTTCCTTTTTTTTAGATTTAGGAGATTACACAACTGAATAATATGCACCCATTTATATATGAACATGTATAAGATTATCTACCCTTTACTGGAATGTAGATCACGGCTCTATTTTTTTGTTAGTCTGTGAAGAGGAGATGATGCCTGATCTTTGAGTCTCTTTCCTGTGATAGTTTTTACAACATGTGCTTCATCTAATTTATCTGATGGGTAGTCATCATGACAGATGCGCGTATAGTATGTGTTTTGATTGTCACATCCCACTTGTTAAATGCAGCCTTAATGGAACCCCTGCTTAGTGAGGGATCCCTCAACCCCCCATCTCCCCTGCCCCACCAACAACTCCTATGTCATAACACTGTTTGCTGATGCAACTATTATTCCTTTTACACTTTCTGCTGACGCAATTATTACTTCTTGAACACCTATTAAAATGACATCTATTCCATCTGTGTGAAATTATATTTCTTGTCTGTGCTTATTTAATTCTCTCAGATTCCTCTGGGGTTGTCCCCTCAGCAGTGTTGTTCAGTTTTGTGTAAATATACTCAAAATAATTACTTTTATTATCCGGAATATAACAGATATATCAGCTTTATTACGTGATTTCATTTATCTTGCTGCACAAAGTGGATCACTGAGCTTATAATAACATTAATAATAAACCAATGGAAAATGGATAGTGAATGGTGGATTGAATGTAATAAGTATTTTGCTTCTTAGCCCTTCTGATTGTATGTATATCATGGGAACAAGAGCCATTCCACACACTTCCAGGAGAGGGCAAGAGTGCAACTGGAAGAGGTACAAAGTCTTTCATCAGTGTATTTCCAATGGCGACTGCAACGTGCTGGTAATGACATAAAGCTGACATTTTAATTACAGAAAGATACTACATTCTATTATCAGTACATGGATTTAACTCCACACAGTTGAAGACACTGGAAACATTTTGTCCCGAGGACAAAATAAGAATTGATTTTAAATGCTTACTGTTTTAGTACCTTGGCAGAGACAGATATAACATGATAATTCAATCTGGCCACTAAAGTGGAAATTGTTAGAACTGCTGAACAGCAATGGAACTTCTATAATTAAAAATCGTTCCATTTTTTATGTAAGAGCACCATAAACTTCATAATATAACTGCACACATTCCTGTCACAGCCAAAAGAAAGGTTATATTTTAGGGTCTTGGTAAGATAAACCCATTCTGTGACCCAGTATTTAAAAATGTAGGACTACAATGAAAACATTCTTTCGTCAAAATGTCAAATGACATGAAGATCAGTGATGGGAGGAACAATACTTGCTTAATTGTTCAATTACTGGGTAACACACTGGAACTGGCTAAACTTGATTAGGGCACTCCAGCAATATGTATTTACTTAACAAAAAATGTTTCTCTTGCAAATTATACATTGTTTTGCACATAACTAAAATAATAATACTGTTTTTCAATCCTTGTTTTATATAAAAGAGCAGTTAACAATGAAAATGTAGATACAGTACTCTACAGCGTTGTTCTGAATCAAGTAACGAGACCTTATATTATCACGTGACTTTGTATCACATGACAACGCCCCTGCTAGAGACACTTAGCTTGAGCTAACAAAATGTCAGCCTTCCTACAGTGGAGGAAATTTGTTTTCTTCGACAAAGAGGCCGTAAAAGACCCGGTGGACAATGGAAAGAATTTTGTGCTTCCAGCCGGAATCTCAGCCTGTGACTCCGGGAGGGGACACATTGTCCTCGGAGATATCCTTTAAGAGCTAATGCTGCTAATATTGTGCTAACTTCTGACAGCTGAGAATGGGTAAGACTCAGTAAATGTTTCAACAAAACCAAATTGTGTCGTTCCCGGCAAACAACGGAATCCTTTCTTAGATGCGATAGGTTAATGTATTTAAAATGTATATCGATAATGCTTTTATATTTGTATTTATGTGCGGTGTGACACCAAATTAATTCTATCCAGACCTTTTCTACGAATGATATCTGAAACAACTTGCTGGAGAGACATTATTAATGACCATTAAATAGTGTAGAGATCGTCAAGATCAACAGTGTTCAGCCAGGTGAGCTGAAGTTATGGAGATTTTAACAATACATTTAAAATGACAAGCTAACATTGAATCAAATACCACAAAAAAAACAGCTAAACTAATTAGTTCTTGAGTACACATTCCTTTTAAAGCCAATATAATTCTCAAATAGTATTAGGTCATATTCACAGCTATTTTGATTTTATTTTTAATCCCAAATTATACAGCAACATTGAGAAATTTTAAACATTCTTATACCTTTACAATGTCTAACAGGACTTCAGTTATTTTTTACACATTTGCTAAGGAAATGCACTTTCCCTTAACATTCATGATGTCACATATGGATGGCAAAATATGGCTCATGACCCGATCCCTGCAGCTGACTTCTTTTCAGGCGTACAAGCTGCGCGTCACACATATTTACCAGCTGAAGCAGCACAGCATCCTCGTGTCAGTGGGGCAGGATGAACAGGGAATAAACCCTCTAGTAAGTGTGCTTTTCTCTTGGGGGACTTTGAACAGTCTACAGCTTTAATATGTTATTGCAGAGAGAGTGAAACTGTTTTCATTTCTCAGGTAAAAGTCTGGAATTTGGACAAAAAGGACAGTGGAAATCCTCTCTGCACACGTATTTTTCCAGCAATTCCTGGCAACAAACCCACTGAAGTGTCCTGTCTCAGCGTACATGAAAACCTCAACTTTATGGCTATTGGTGAGACACAAATAGGACGGCACTCAGCAACAGTTGATTTCTTCTGCATGATAATAATCGTTGTGTTCTTGACAGGCTTCACAGATGGCAGTGTGGTTTTAACCAAAGGTGACATCACCAGAGATCGTCACAGTAAAACTCTGACTCTGCATGAGGGCACCAGTCCAGTGACTGGCCTCGCCTTCCGCCAAGTGGCAAAAGTCACTAACTTGTTTGTTGCCACTTTAGAGAAAGTCTATGTAAGTAGTGTTTCGAGTCATAAAGAATCTAGGATTTTTTTGGACTCCTTCATTTTCACCACCTTTATTTCATTCTTGTCTCTTGTCACTCAGTGCTACACATTGTCCATTAAGGAGTACCCTAAAATAGAGCTGGATACACATGGCTGTGCGCTGCACTGCTCTTCATTGGCAGATCCCTCCCAGGATTCCCAGTTCATTGTAGCTGGTGATGAATGTGTTTACCTGTATCAACCAGACGAGCGCGGCCCCTGCTTTGCATTTGATGGACACAAGCTTCTTGCCCACTGGCATCGTGGATATCTGTTTTTACTCATAAGGGATACAAAGTCACCCAACAAGTAAATATGACACACTAAAATAAATTAACTATGGTAAAAAAAATATTATTTGATTTAGTTTGTAAAGAAACTTGAGTTGATTTCAACCTTAAAATAATAACATTTCAAGTGTGTCGCTCTGTTTGTTTAGGTTAAAAGCGGGAGAGGAGACTTACTTACAGTTACTTCTGTGACTAACCATACACCTAAAAATAATTGTCACAAAAGAAACAGATGTGTGATATGTGATGTGTGAATGATTTGCTAACACAGCTCTGAGTTGAACATAAAATACGTCTGCAGTGATCTGATCACACACAAATGATTCCTGTAACTGCTGACACTTTTTTTTTCAGGTCTGCATTCGGCAGCAGGGAGAGCTCACCATCTGAGAAACAACTTCTGACCATCTATGACCTGGACAACAAGTTCATTGCATACAGCGCCTCTTTGGATGATGTCATCGACGTGGTGGCAGAGTGGGGCTCCTTCTACATTCTGACCAGAGATGGAAAAATGTTTGTTCTTCAGGAAAAAGACACACAAACCAAACTGGAAGTGAGTCAAAAATCTGCTTCAGACAATTGAAAAGAACAAAATCAGGGAAATGTTGATTTCTGTAATCCCTAAGTTTCCTTGTGGTTGGTGTTGTTTTAAAGATGTTGTTCAAAAAGAATCTGTTTGTAATGGCCATCAACCTGGCTAAGAGCCAGCACCTGGACAGTGATGGGCTCTCGGAGATCTTTAGACAGTATGGTGACCATCTCTACCTTAAAGGAGACCATGACGGTGCCATACAGCAGTACATTCGGTAGCTGTAACACTAAACATCTACCAGCTGTTTCTTAGCTGCTTCAGGAGACAAAACCTGTGTTTGGACTTCCTTCTGTTCTTCCACAGCACCATTGGCAAACTGGAGCCGTCATATGTCATCAGAAAATTCCTGGATGCACAGAGGATTCACAATTTGACAGCGTATTTGCAGGCCCTACACAGACAGTCGCTGGCTAACGCAGACCACACCACTCTGCTACTCAACTGCTACACCAAACTGAAGGACAGCTCCAAGCTGGAGGAGTTCATCAAGGTAAGGTGAACTGTGTTCTTCTCAGAATTCTGAAATTCTGAGATTTAGGTTAATTGGACACCTTGAGTAAGTTTGGGTGTAAGTGGGTGTGGAAATAAATTAATGAATGTATTTTCAATCTCATACTATATGTTAAAAGCACTTCATGGATATGATGAGGAAAGTAAAAGTGCTCTTTCTTTTGCATTTCCACAGAGTAGTGAAAGTGAGGTTCACTTTGATGTTGAGATCGCCATCAAGGTTCTTAGGCAGGCAGGCTACCACAGCCATGCAGTTTTTTTGGCTGAGAAACACATGCACCATGAGTGGTACCTGAAGATCCAGCTCGAAGACCTGAAGGTAAAAACAGTAAAGACAAGTAAATGGCACAAAAGAAAAACTCACAAAAACATATTCAGTATACTGTAAGGGGCTGCAAGGACACAGAACTTGAAAACTGTCTCCCTCCAACATCCAGAACTACCAAGAAGGGTTGCGTTACATCGGCCGTCTGCCTTTTGAACAAGCCGAATGCACCATGAAGCATTATGGCAAGACTCTGATGCACAATGTCCCTGAAGGTACCACGCTGCTCCTTAAAGGCCTGTGCACTAACTACCAACCGAGCGGAGAAAAAGACAGCGAAGAGAGGAGGCGGGTCAATAAGGTCAGTCTGTAGTTGTCAACATCTTTTTGTATTCTGTGAAAATCTGCATTTTCCCCAATATTAATCACATTTTGTCTTGGGAGTTTTAGGCCAACTCAGAGGAGTTTATCCCCATTTTCACAAACAACCGTCGGGAGCTAAAGGCCTTCCTGGAGCACATGATCGAGGTGGATCCACGTTCTCCCCAGGGTGTGTACGACACACTGCTGGAGCTCCGGCTTCAAGACTGGGCCCATGAACAGGATTTAGAGGTCAGTGCACAACCTGCTACAAACTATAGTCGCATGCCGACATTATGGACTTTTAATTCAGAGTAACAGATGTTACATGTATAGTTTAGGTTTTTTAGGGTCCATTATAAAAACACTGAATTCGAACATGGGTATAATCAATCATTTAAATTGAAAAGTGCTTGGATAAATAACAAGTTACATAACGTTACAAAGATATTGGACTTTTATTTTTTGCCTTGGCTTCAGCAAACGCTGTTTCTAAAACCTAAATGAAGCCCATAATAGTTAATTCTATATTCTTGTGGTTTTCTTATGTTGCAGAGGAAGAAGGTCCTGCAGGGTGAAGCACTGTCTCTGCTGAGGAGTGACAACACTGTCTTTGATAAAGCCTTGGTCCTTTGCCAGATGCATAACTTTAAAGAAGGTGTCCTCTACCTTTATGAGAAGGGAAAGCTGTAAGTGAAGGCACACAATGACCTCTGAATATCTGATTATGTGTTATCTCCTCATTTTAGCTTGACAGTAAAGAATGGACAAATTTCTTCTTTCATAAAAAAAAAGTTATTATTTTTGTCCAAATCTTTAATTAACATGTCTTTATGGCTTATATGTTTCTGCTGTGGTGCATAAGTGATAAAACAACAATCAGACTGCTGCCAGGTCACTTATGAACCCAAATAGTGTTGTGCAAAAATAGCATAAAACGCGTCAGATATTTTTAGTATATAATCATTACAGCACTAAATGTTTTCAAATGTATTTGTTTGTGCAGGTACCAGCAGATCATGCACTACCACATGCAGAATGAAGAGTATGGAAAAGTGGTTGAAGCCTGTAAACGTTATGGAGACCAGGAGAGTTGTCTGTGGGAGCAGGCACTGGGATACTTTGCCAGGAAAGAGGAAGACTGTAAGGCCTACATCAGCGAGGTCCTGCATCACATTGACCAGAACAACCTGATGCCACCTTTACTGGGTGAGCTCCTGAAGGTTTCATTTGTACTGGATTTATACTATATACTATATTTTTTCATTCACTTCAGACCAAGTGAGTCAAACCCAATCCCTCAATGGGCCAAATTAAACACAGTCCAGGTTGTGGGTCAGACAGCATTAACAGTTTTTCAAGTCTACGGCTGAGAATACTTTTTCCTCAATAAAACAAGGAAAAAAACATGATGTATATTATGTACACATGCAGAATTGCTGCATTTGACCAATTCAGTAAACATTGGTATGGACTCAATAAAGTTTTATTTAAAACAACCACCTGCATGTTAAACTCTGAGGTGGCAGGACAAATTTGGCCCAGGGGCCTTGATTTTGACATATATGCTTTACACCAAATGGGTTTTATTAGCTTGAATTTTAACTGCTGTATTTTTGCGTTGCATCCAATGTATCTTATTTAATTTTTTGTGACCACAGTGGTACAGACACTGGCACACAACTCAACAGCCACGCTCTCCGTCATCAAAGACTACCTCATCAGCAAGTTACAGAGGGAGAGCCAGCAGATAGAGGACGATGAACGCAAAATCAGACAGTACCGTGAGGACACAGCTAACCTTCGCTCTGAGATTCAAGAGCTCAAAACCAGGTGAGTGTATTGGGATAGAAAAGATCACGTGGTTTATGAAGGGAAGGTAATCTTCTGCAGTTTTGTCTGTCTTTCAGCAACAATGTTCTGATATATTTTCTGGTTGTAATGGTTGGATGTGAATGGCTAGGACAGTTGAATATATCTGTTTTTAAACACTTCTTTGAACACAGTGCCAAGATCTTCCAGAAGACCAAGTGCAACATGTGCAACAGTCCCCTGGAACTGCCGTCTGTCCATTTCCTGTGCAATCACTCCTTCCACCAGCACTGCTTTGAAAGCTACGCAGAGAGTGAGGCTGAGTGTCCGACCTGTACACCAGAAAACAGAAAGGTCATGGACATGCTGCGTGCACAGGACCAGAAGCGTGATCTACACGACCACTTCAACAGACAGGTAACAGTTGTTTCAGGGAGGATTGACTTGATTATGAAAATCATACACAAATATTCCCACAGCAACATGGGAACAGGTGATGAATATTTTCAGAATCTGACAATGTTTGTGAAATTAGTCTTAAGGACTGTCATGAATGACCATTGGGTAGTCCAGTGTTTTGTAGCATTTTGTACACACTACACATAGTACATACATTTTATCAGTGTTTAATTGAAGTCTCTATGTCCTTTCTTGGTTTTCAAGTTACGCAGCTCTAATGATGGGTTCTCTGTGGTGGCTGACTACTTTGGTCGAGGGGTTTTTAACAAACTGACTCTGGTCACTGACCTACCCGGAAACAAATCAGTTGGGAGTCTTGAGGGGAACCTTCAGAGAGACCTTCTCATCCACACCAAGAGGCACAGCTAGAGACATGTCATCACTGAGTCCTGCCTACACAGGACCGTTGTGTTCAGCTTTAACACCATCCTTCACTGCCTTTTCTTTGGAAGTGAATGTGTTTACCGGCTTTGAGTACCTGTTAGCACAACTAGGTCAAAAGTCAAGCATTGTGACTCCCTGCAGACTATAAATATAGATACATATGAATCACATAGAAAAGCATCTTAAACTCAATGCTAAGGCACAAAATGGAGAATGTTGCTTCAGCATATGTTTAGTCATTGGATCTATCATGACAAAAAATCTTAATCGTCTGCCGTATGCTGTTCGTCTGACTTAAAGAATAAACCCTGAAATAAATGATATTGTCTGCCTTTGTAGCCCTAAAATGAGCACACCTGTGTAACTACTTGTTTTGATGCTTCTGACAGTTTTGTCAAATGCATTTTCACACCACATAATCTCTCTGTGAGCTGTGGCTAGTTACAATAACCTGTTTTTTAGAAGAAGCTTAAGTTTTTAACACTTGCTCATTTCCATTCCTGTTGTAGATGTTGTCACTTAATTTTATTTCTTAATGTATCAAAATTAACTGCCTTTTTAGATTTTGGCCTCTGTTGTCCTCCCTCTGATTGTGATTTATTGCCAGTGTAAAGTTTGAACTACACAGTAGTCAGTAGTTTCATAGCAGCTGCTGTCAAAAGAAATCAAAGTTACTTTCAGGTCCATTCTTGTTTTCTTTGGTATAGACTGGCTTTTTGTAAGAACACAAATGTCTGCAAAATCATCATGGTATGCATCTACGTAGCAAGAACAGTCTCAAAAACAATAACGATAGGGAAACATTCATACATTTATATTTATATGAATAACGTTTAAGTGTTTAATTTTGAAAGAACATAATGTCATACAATTTCTAACTACTTTCCAGAAAATGCATTTTAGATTGTTTCTATAATGCAACTCTTAATTAACAAAGAAGCACATGCTTAAACTTTACCTGGAAGTGTCGCAATTCAAACTTACGCCCTTTAACTGGACGTGGACCAATGCGATGCCACCAAAAGAGGTTTACCGACGCCACTCACCTCACGTGGACCAATGACACCCCAGTGCGTGGAGCAAAGTGGGTGGGGTTTAAAACAAGGGTCACCGCCTACTATCACAGAGCAGTTGTAAAAATCACCGGAAGCATAAGGAGCTTACCTTCAAATCAGAGGCCAATAAAACTGTCTTCTCAAAGATTGTATTTTGTATCTGAATAGAAAAGATATGTATGGAATAAATATAAAATAAATTCACATTTATGAACGTTTTATCAAGTGAGAACATGTTACTAATGCTTATTTCCAAAATAACGTGCGATAGTAAAATATTCTATGACGTTAACCGGAAATAGTACGTGTAGTTATAGTACGCTTGACATGAGTTTTTCTCCCAGCAGCCAGCCGCTCTAGTGGATCCAATGAGATGACGCCGCGTTCCGGGCCCGACTGCTGAGAACAAGCCGGTGATAAGGGGAAGTAGAAAAAACGACCACGGCGTGACAACAAAGAGGTTGCAAGTGAAAGGCTAACCCACGAACAATAACTAGGAAGCCGGC